TTTTTCTCTGCGTTTCTCATAGATTTGTAAAGTGATTGAATTTGACTACATTTGAGAAATTGATACATTTAATGATTTGAAATATTCACACAATTGTAAGATTTTGATTAAAACCAATGAAGAGTAGAGTAGAACCTACTATTATAAAGTAATATTAATAAACTTTATTTTATTGATCACATTTTAAATACAAGATTTTAAATTTTATTTAATAGTTTGAATACTAATTACAATTATNAATCTCAACTTTATCGCGCACGCAAAGCACGCGATACTCAAAGCGACGCGAGTATTCAAAAACTTGTGCAAGTTTGTAAGGCCGACGTGGGGAGTACACCCGGAAAACGTAACGATTATTTACAGACAAGTCATCGAACCAATAATAACATACGCAGCAGGAGTCTGGGGCGCGTCAGCTGAGCGCACCAGCGTCAAGTCTGCTTTGCGTTCATTTCAAAGATCATTTGCTATACGAGCGATCAGAGGCTTTCACACAATATCAGCCGTCTCTGCTTTGGCAATCGCTCAGTTCACACCACTGCATCTGAAAATACGTGAAGTATACCAAATAGAAGAAGTTAAACGCACCCGCGTCTGCCCAACCATTCCTGACGACGTGACACTCGAAGTTCGCGTCAAACCTGAAGACAAACTGCACCCATCGGAACGACAAACATTCCATCATAAAGAAGTATTGACGCAGGAACAGGCCGACGCGATCTCGTCTGAAACAAACATCTTTACTGATGGCAGTAAACTAGACACAGGTCAAGTCGGTGCGTCATGCGTCATATATCTGCCATCTGGACGTGTAGTCAAACGCAAACGCAAACTAAACAACAATTGTTCGGTATTTCAAGCCGAACTCTATGCTCTAAATGACGCACTAATATGGGCGGACGCAAACCTCACCACTGATGTAACCATATATTCAGACAGTCAATCAGCAATCAAAGCAATAGAAAATTCTGCCAACTGCCACCCCATTGTTACATCAATTCAATCACTCATTCACTCAATCATTGAACGCAAAAATATTGTGTTCGCATGGGTTAAAGCCCACGTCGGCATCATCGGAAACGAAGAAGCTGATGCGAACGCAAAATCTGCTGCCACCCAACACACGAGCATAGCGTACAATGCGTTTCCGTTGTGCGTCGCCAAACACATCATCAAACAACAGATATGGGATGAATGGGCAGCTGAATATCAAGACGCGACACAAGGATCGGTGACGCGAATGTGGTTACCATCGCTCGAAGACGTCAAAAAGTTCATCGCTATATCCGGGGTTTCATTTGAAATGACGCAAGTCTTGACCGGTCATGGCTTTAATAAAGTCAACCTCAATCGATTCAAAATAACAACCGACGTGGTCTGTCCATGCGACGGACGCACCAACCAAACAATCGATCACTTATTGAAAGATTGCGCGAGATATGCATTGCAACGCAATAAATACTCGACGCAATTGTCACAATACAACCAATATGATTTATTTAATTTTGCGTCACTGGACGCAACTGCTATACAACTCCTCAACGAATATGTAAAGGAGATCATCTCATCATTAAAAGCTTTCAACGCATAATAGACTAACACTAAGAGCAGACGCGCGTATCCATTCGCGTGCGTCATAAATCAACACAATTATTATATTCATTTAACCGTAACACTTATTGTATTTTATTGTTTACCATTTATAATTGAATTATTTTTATTTTGTATATTCGCGTCAATCGACGCAATAATCACTGTCCTTTAATTTTGTCCGTTATATATTTAATGCAATTGTATTACCATTTAATTATCATTCATTTATTTTATCTTATACGCGTCAATCGACGCAAAAATCATATTTATAACCATTAATTTATATTATTTTATTATTATTTACGCGTCATATGACGCAATATAACATTGTATTAAATGCGGTAATTTTGAATAAATAATTTATGCAAAGGAAAAAAAACCTAACCTAACCTAACCTAACCTAGGTGGTGGTGACCACAATATTATTTCTAGCAGAAGAAGAAGAGGAAGAATTCAAACTCAAATATATATTTAGCGAATTGAGGCTTTTATTTCAGATTTATAATTTATTTTTGCAAAAATTGGTTACAATATTTGTTACATTATATTTTTATATAAATTTTAAACAATGTATACTTTTAAAAACATGATTATCACATAATTTGTGGCACATTTTGACTTATATTTGGTCTATCGGGATAGATTGGTACTCGAGGCGTGGGAACCACTGCTGATACCACTGCTAACGGTTACCGTCTCGTCATTATATGGGAGACATTGATTGGGTGAAGACGTCGGACACATCTTAAATAGTGGTGCCGTTTGTAGTATGACTTGGATTGCGTCGATTCGCGCCAATTCTTGCAATTTGTTGACCAAAAGTTTGATTGTGTTGTTTGGCTCACGAATGCACTCATCGATGAGTCGGGCGGTGGGACTGAGTTGTGGACCGGTATGAGAGCCCGGATCTAATTTAGGCAACTTATCAGTCATGCCTAAGAGTATACCAAACAAACACCAGTCACGGCCTATGGCTTCGGGCGGGTCTAACACTGCACACAGTCTTTGCTTCGTTAGGAGCGACAGATTGGATGAGTGAAGACTCGTTACAAGAGTGGGTCCGCCGGCATAGCCTTCACACCACTTGAATGGAGTCGATGTGACCGGCGATGACATCAACGAACTTATTGATGGAATGGACGTAAATTTGGCGCTTCTTCTGATGGCATTCAAGTCATTGATTCCAAATGAGATAATATCACTAATTCTTTCTTCGACTGTCGAGTCATTACTTTTGATGGTTTGGTCAACAGATTGTTCATCGCATGAAAGCAATGCTTCAATGATTGAATGCGAAGAATAATACGATATATTAGGTTTGTGTTGAGACATGTGTTTTGGCGATAAGTAATGTCTTTGCAAAACAAGACCACAACATATCTGTCCAATAGTTGTGTCGATAATATTGAGAATGTCTTCCATGAAGAGAAAGCATTCATTTGTCATATGTTTGGTTCCGCGAACTTTCAGTTCAATGCATTCATTCATTGCATTACAGGTTAGGATGGCTTCAATTGGACCCACACTTAGCGTCGAGTGTTTGAACCAATTGTTTAACTCATAGACTGAATATTCTGGATGTGATTTCACTGCTATTCTCAATGAGATTTGAATGCGAGAAAAGACAGTGATTAGGATGTGATCGCCGGGAACTTTGTCTTCACATCCAATGCCTACTCCACAGTAGACCATATCATGCATATCATGCTCTCCAGTGTTGTCCTCTGAGATCCAATTTTGACAATCATTTGGTGACTGGTGTTGAAGGGATGGGAACTCATAAGCAATGTCTCCCTCGTGATCGCATTGAACGCATAGACCCATGGCTTCCAACACCTGAAGTAAGTCGAGTGCATCCGTTTCGGGAAACTCGAGCTGAATATCATCGACAGAATAGATTCCTGTCGTACGACTCGCAGACATGTTGTCATCACTTAACAGATGACCGATTATGTCAACTGTAAGCCAACGCGGACTTAAAACAATCAATTCCTGACTATTCTCTGTTCTGCACAACAGATGCAGTACTTCTCCCATTGTTTGCAATTGTAGTAACAGTTGTTTGAAGTGCTCATCGCTGGCCAATGGATTGATTTGTGATCTTATAATCTCTTTGAATTGATTCAATGAAAGCACAGGAAAAGTGACCGAAGCTTTGCGGCACACGTTTAAGAAAGAGATGACAGCCTCTAAAAAAGCGGTCGAATGCGGTATTGTCTGTAAAACTTGACATTTCATTGAATTTAAATACTGTTTCAATTGTTTCATTGCTGCCGAACCGACAGCATTGGCGTCCATCACAAACATGTGGTCGTGTATATCGAAGATATTGTTGAATGCATTACTTATAGTCATCATTACATGTCTTATATTTGTATTGATGTCTTCAGATAAGGTGTTGACCAGATCTGCGTGAGTGGCGATAATTATCACTTTGAGTGGTTTATTACTTTTGCCACAAATAGTCAACGGTTCCAACACTGGTGTTCGACTTTGAAGAAAATACAACCAAAACATAATACTTTGTATTTGAATCTCAATTGGATCGCAAAGCCTGAAGACAATTGCGTTCAAACAGTTTGTATCGCCAATGAAATGATCATATATTTGTTTGAAGCGCTCGTTTCCACTAAATTCCCAAATACTGATATCTCCGACACCAGAAATGGTCAACTGTTGGCAATCAATGCCAAGCGTACTATTTGTACACTTATCACGGCTTTGGTTAACACAGGTGTTCATCGACTCTGACTGAGCATTGCTTGACGTCGAAGACTCGACACAACAATTGGGTGACATTTTATCACATCTTTTATGATGAGAATTATTGAGTGATTTAGACGATCGCCGAAACCAACTGCTAAAGTAACCGCATTTGAACGACTCAATCAAAGTAGTCTTTCCCGAACCCGAATCTCCCATTATTTTAAGCTTAAAGCGTCCGATCTGTTGATTATTAGGCACTAATTGTGAAATGTATTCTTCTTTGGTCTCTTCATTGCTTAATCTCGTCAACAGATCTGCGATTTCGTTGTGATTTTGAGCGATGGCACAAATTTGTGGCATAATTAACATCTGATCCATACTCTCCCTATTCTTCGTGTCAACAATACTTCCGGCCAAACAAAGACACCTCACTATCTCGATGTGTCCGTTCTTTGCAGCTAAATATTAATCACTCATTAATTACAATCTTATCGATCGACTTATATATGACTTGATATATACCTAAATGTAAAGGATATAAGCCTTGTTTATTGGGCGCATTCACATTACAGCCTAATGAACATAATGTATGACACGTTTGAAACAAATTAAATCGTGAGGCGTAATGGATAGGTCTCTCTCCGCGATCATCAATGGCCTCGATGTCAGCGCCGGCGCGTAGAAGTAGTGCCGCCGCCGACACGTGTTGGCGTTTTAATGACAAATGCAAAGGAGTGTAACAGTGCTGTCAATACCAGTCAATTCTGTGATTAATCATTATTTCATCACTCATTCAATGCAAACCTTATTTCTGACATCAGTTCGGGCGCCGGCATCGAGTAGACAGCGAACACATTCAGTGTGGCCTCGGGCTGAAGCCACATGAAGGGCAGTCTCTCCCTCCTATACCCGAACAAAACTAGCAGTTATTTCATAACTCCTACATATATTCATGTATTTATGTGTTAAGACCTTATTTTTGACGTCGGTTTGAGCGTTCACTTCACCCAATATATGTACAATTTTCGGGAACCCATGCCATACGGCTATTAACATCGCTGTCTCGCCGTGCTATCGATGTAATCATATTATTCACTCATATTATAACAGCACTTATGTTAGGACAATACCTCATCGATTGCATTAACATTGGCTCCACATTTGCACAACTGTTCAATGGCTTCGACGTGTCCATAACGTGCGGCCACGTGTAACGGTGTCTCCAAATTCTGTCAATAATACAATCGTTGTATTCATTGTATAACTTATAACTATGTATCAATACTTTGTTAGTTTGGTTCACATTCGCCACATTATCGTAGAAATAACGAATTATTGGTGAGTGATTTTGTCGACCAGCCCAATGGATTATAGAGTCACCTCGCTATTTAGCATACCATTTATTAACATTATTGTTATCGTCATTGTTATTAATTAATTTATAAGACTTACCTCATCGGTTAAGGTAATATCAGCTCCTTTACTATGTAAAAATCGTAAAATGTCCAAATATCCCAAACCAGAACAATAGTGCAAAAGAGACTCTCCGTGCTATTCGTTTATAAGAAAAACATGTTAATCCATTATTTAACAATATTAATTGCAATTATTCTATTTTGTATCACTTTCAACACCAGTACAATAAAATATACATATAATGGTATAATATCTAAGTATACAACTTTTTATATTGATTGTTAAATAAGTTTGGATTTTATAATAATTTGGACATGAATAATTGGACAAACCCGATTAGATTGATTGGCATCGATGTTGGAGCTAATGGTAAAAAGTTCTTCAATAGCATTAAGGTTGCCGTCTTCTACCGCTCCAAACAGCGCCGCCGACACAAAGTTTTCGTCATTCTATTGATACGTATTTTTACAAATTATAATCACATTATATAATCGACTCAATATTAAGCCCATTTTAACCATCATATTCTCTAACAATGTAAGTAATCTAACAATGTTAACTCGTAAGTATACAATAATTATGATTAGACACTTAATAAAATAAAATACAACAATTTAATAATAATTCAAGCGTACAGTGAATTAATGGTAATTACAAATTATAAAAACTTAAAAAGCTATTTATAAAATTTAATCTAAAATATATTGATTATTTGATTGTAAATCCATTTTAGAAATAATGTAAGAGACAATTCACTTTTGGCACTAAAATCTTGAGGTAGTAATTGAAAGTGACTGTCATTGTAATCGTAATCATAGTTTTGTTGATATTGATTCATGTAATGATTGTGAGAATTGTGAGCATTTGTCACAATTGGATTGAAACCTTGATTGAAATATACGTTTGCATTGTTATCATTATAGCCATTATAGCCATTATAGCCATTATATCCATTATAGCTATTATAGCCATTATAGCCATTATAGCCATTATAGCCATATCCATACGGATTAGGACGAGGTCTGAGACCAAATAGAGCCGAAACTAATTTGATGAGAATCTTGAGTTTGTAAATGAGAAACTTGAGAAATGCTATCTTCATCTCTCCTTTTGCTTTCCACAACTCTTGCATTGTATACAAACTTAGAGTTCTTTCATTTGATCCATCGGTTGTCTCTTTTATAACATTATTTGATAGTTTGTCAATAATTGGTACACAATTAACGTTTGAAACACGACTCAGTAATTTTAGTAATACAATGCCTGTTATTACTATCAATTTAATCAACATTTTTAAATATTTAACATAACAACTAATATTTAAATTTATAATCAAATTATGTTTGCGATTACAATTATCACGTTTTTTATAAACTACTAATTAAAATACAGTATAATATTTATTTGCCAAATTTATATAGTATACTTATGTGATTTGTAAATATTATTATTACAGATGATAATTAAGTCACATTTCACATCAAATAACTTATTTTTAAAAAAAGTGTTAAATAGTTTGTCTCAAGTTGTGATGAGCTCTGATCATTATCTTATCTTATATATTGATATATATTATAATATTACTGATTCATTGGTGTTTAAATTGTTAACAAACATTAGTAATTTAAAATAACATCAATATTTTTGATAATCTTATCAATGTTTGTATGATTAAAGGCAAATGAATTTGAATTTAGTTATAAACCCATTCACTATTAGTATAATATATATAATATCTTTATAGAATTTATTTAGAAATAAACTTTTGAAAGCTTTTACATTGACCATGTCGGCTTGACCAACTATTGGTAAATTGCGATCTCAGTCAACACAATGTTCTTTAATTGTGATGCAAGTGATGGACGCGATGTCCTTTGGGACACATACACCACATTTCTAAACACCTCTTATTATAATTCGAGAGCATTGTTGTTGAGTGAGATCAGTATAATCAGGTATGAATCAGTCAACACTTAAACACCTATTACTACTATTTCCAAAATTCAAAGTCGAGCACAATTGCCTCACTTAACCTCACCTTAACCTCACTTAAACCTCATGTATTGTACGATAATCTAACGTTAATTGTAAGAAGAATCTGATAATCCTTACCAAAGTTGAGACGACAACAAAGTTTGTGTCTTCTTCTTCTTGAGGCGAATCATAATAAACAGTCGATTCATTGATTTCCAAATCTTTGTCAGCATTTTGAGCACAAATATCAATACAATTGGACGAAACAATTGGTCCAATATTTATAAACTTTTCATTTTCTTCCATTTTCAACATTCATTCATATGCTTTACTGACACCACTTTTGTCAATACAACAGTATTTCATTCATTCGTAATTTACCACATGCTAAATATTATAATCAACTAATAGCCGATTTGACACATCCTTGCATAATATATGATTCAATTATTTACACTATTATCAATTTCAAATATATTGTTTAAATTCACTTTAAATGACATATTAACTTAAAATAGACGTGACGTTTATGTAATATTAGCATATTACCATGTCAGCTAACGTTTTATACAATATTACTTTACATACATGTAAGTGAGAATTAAATATACTTTTGTGGACAATGTATCCGATAAATACTTTTAAGTGATTTGTTGTAAAGAGAATGGCATTAAAAAGTTGATAAATTAAATTATATTAATAAAAAAGAGTATTCAATTCAGCCATTATTTAATACAACGTCATTACATAAGACTATACCGACACAACCCGGAGATACAAGAGTTGTACAACAGGTTAGCCCTACAGTATATACAGTATAGTGTATTAAACACTCAAATACTAGTTTCCCATCAAATATTTTTTACTTAAACTCAAAGCTAACAGTAATTTTCAAAATATGAAACGTAAGTAAAATGAATTGAATTGTGTTTACTTCAAAACTTGGTCTTAAAACATAACCTCAATATACTTTATACTGAAAGAATCGCGATTCAGGCCAACGATCACCTTAATTATCCTCTTTTTCAAACACCAATCAGCACCGGGATTGTCGACTCCGGCACTTATATGTCAGTTATAGTGTGATACAGTCGTGTCTTTTTGTATACTATAAAATATTCAATTCTTATTTATTTATGGAATCAGCTTTTTAAACAATAATTGCACATATAGTACATTATAATTATAAAACTATGTAATGTATTTATAAAGCCTTACAGTATCAATAATAACAATAATATAATAGTTTATATTAGTTTTTATAATTGTTTAATTATTAAATATTCAGCATGACACTTTTATGCGCACACTTCATGCACACATCTAGATTGTTTGTAAATTATTATGATTTTGATACAAAATTTAAACAGTAATACAATTAGTGTTTCCGGAATGACAGGAATCTTAATAAAATGATGTTTGGGCTCTTGTCTTCCGGTGGTAATCTCACCGCACATATGAGAAGCCCAAGTAATTTAAAATGCAATTTAGAAAGCATATTTTATGAAAATTATCAATAAAAATAATTTTGATTCTATTTAAATAGGTATCAGATTGTAAATTGTTAATGTTTATATTTACTTAAAAATATTAACTTTGTAATCTGGTTGAAAAATATGGATATATGCATAAAAAGGAAAATTACAATTTACTGCTTTAATAATCATTTCATAATTTTGCTTTATGTTTTAGTATTTAATAATTATTTCTGCTTAAAAACGAATCTTAAGAAACTTTTAATAAAATGTCAAAAATCTCAAAAAAATATCATTCTTGTGCATTATTTTAAGATTCATTTTTATATTTATAACATAGGTTTACTCATAGCAAAAAATAGGCATCGATTCATTAAAAATGTAAAAATATAAAAATTAACTTTAAAATGATCCCAGACAAATTATATTACTTAAAAGTACATTTATTAAGGAAATTGAAATATTGACCTGGGAACACTAGGCAAGATACTGTACATGTAAGTATTTGCACATTTTTTACTCATAATTTTGCTTAACTAATATTTTTTAATATGTAATCAATTTGAAACAAACCTCAATATTATTAAAAGAAGAGCCATTTGTGGATAAATGTGGTCCAGTAATTGGTCCAGCAATTGAATGCAATCTCTTTTTTAATGTTTGTAATAATCGACAGCAAATTATAACCGATTGAATTGTTTTCTTAAATATAAATATTATATTTAGCGTTTTAAAAAAAATAGTTTTCACATAATTATACTTTCCAACGACTTTTAATGATTGAATTTAAGCCAGAGTGTAATCGTTGGTCAAACGAATGACTATCTAAACAACATGTATTTTTTTTAATCCACTGATGGTCTAAACACTGGCGAACTGTATAGCGTTTTCTAAATTAACAAATATAAAGATCATATCTTGTAATTATGGTAACAATTAGAGTGATCGGCAGTTTGTTAGAAATTTTTATTCTTCTATTTTATTATATTGGCAAGCCTAAATTATCTACAATATTTATATTTGTAAACTAAACAGGGAAATTTAAATCTGGAGAATTTAAATCATTCTTAAAAGATTACACTAGTAGTGTATATAATATATAATGTGCATAAAATATTGTGCAATTTAGTTTTATTATTATGCAAAAGTACTTTTGGTTTTTAACTAGTAGTCTTGATATAAAATCTTTAGCTTCAGTACTAATATTGCAAAAGTATTGTCCGTCGAAATGATAGTCAACAGCTGTTATATTAACAAATGTTTTTTGTTTAGTATCGCCCAGAAATGGTGATCCGCCGCTCAACCTTTCAAAGCAATTCAATTTGATTATCATTTCAATTTCAAAACACATTACTATTCAAAACAAATATTACGTACAAATTATATGCAATGCAACCGATGGCCCACATGTCTGTTCCAGTGCTCATCGATTCGTAATTTATTATCTCTGGTGCTATAATTGGGTTTATAGAATTTTATTCATCGAGTTGCATTACAAACACAATAACACTACATGTCATTGTACATAAAGGTATATGTAAATAGTGGTTTACCGTGTAATATTTAGTACACTACTACATAATGTATATCTGTATCATTACCTACAAATTCTGGGGTTCCATAGAGACCTTTAACGTCTAAATTATTTATAATTTTTCGTGATATTCCGAAATCAATTAATTTAATATCTTTGGAAATTTTATCGGTTAATAATATGTTTTCCGGTTTTAGATCCAAATGAACGATATCTCTGTCGTGCAAATGCTTGACAGCCATTAGAATCTGTTTTATATAATGAATCGCTTCTTCTTCTTCTAAAAACCCTTTATATGAAATCAAATCGAAAAGTTCGCCGCCTTTTACTCTGCAAAACACATTTCAAAATAAATCAAAGTTAATATTACAAGAATTGAATGCAACAGTATTTTAGTAATACAACAATTACATGCTATTATTACTTACAATTCTAATATAATTATCATTTCATTTCCACAATCAAAAACGTCATATAATTTTACGATATATTTGTTATCAATTTCTCTCAATAAGTCGACCTCACGGTAGATATCGTCTAATGTCTGCCCTATTCTTCCGGTAGAACTTCTTTTACGAATGAATTTAGCGGCGAATTCATTGCCTGTATTTCTCTCTACACAACGCCGAACGGTCGCAAACTTTCCACTGAATAATTGCAACATTCATTTTGAATTAAACTTTTATTTATAAACATTCATAAACATATAAAACAAAGTTTGCTAACAAGTAAGTTATTAATTAAACTTATGATAGATAATAGGTAAATGCTATAATGTTATAATGGTAAATGATTGTCAAATTAGAGTCACCAGATGTTCAAAAATCACTTGCATTTAGAGAGCATAATATTATTCAGACAAAAATACTCATGTTTAACAATAAATGTATGAAACATTCAACAAATTATATCATAATTAGATAAACGGGTTTAGGACTAATTGATGTTCAAAAAGGAATGCACTGTCAGTCGAATTACAAATTATAGAAAACATCTAAATAAGTTTGTACTCTGTACTCACTCATGAGTAGTGTTCCCAGATGGTCAAGGAATTCCTTGATTGTCAACAAAATAGGGCTTTTGACAAGAGTCAAGGCTGGGGTCATTCCTTGATATTCTTATATTTCAAAAAATGTAACATAAATAATTTAAAATTTAGCTTTTCCTAAACTCATAGACTCAGTCTCATAGACAAAATGCTTTACACATTACAAAATATTGTTGATTATCAAAATATTAAACCTATTTTTACTAAAGTAATGTAATGACTGTAAAATAATATTTCTTAAAAAATATTTAATGACAATTTTGTTTTTGTTGTTATGATTTTTGTGCTTAAGACTTGAATTTGCTTTAAAATTGTTATATTTAAATATTGAATTCATAAATATAGACACTAAACGGATTCTTTTTAGATGCTTTTGCACAGAAAAACATAACTTTATATACAAGTAATGTTTGATTCATTGAATGATTCAATGCTTTATTAAACACAACTTTAATATTTCTAATAAAATAATTTATTTTTTTCTGTGCAAAAGCATCCGTTTAGTGTCTATATTCATAAAAAAATTTGTGTTCTTGATGTTGTTGAATATGTGGTTAACAAATTCTGAATTTAATGTTGTTTAGAATATGTTTTAAATATATTTATCGTTTAAAGATATATGTTTGGGACTTTAGGGGCAAACGAATTACATAAAAAGGGTCATTTAAAAAAGTTTTATTTTGCATATATATTTCATATTTGACTTATAAATAAATATAAATAAATATTTGACCATAAAGCATAAAAATCATTAATTTACTTGAAATTCATGGCTTAAAATGTCTAAATCTATATTAAATAGTAAAATAATTTTTAAAAGTTTGTTAATCAAAACAATAATAAATGTATGATATTACATAGGATAGTATATCATTAGTTTGACTTGGAAACAATTGATATAATTTTAATATATATTATTACTTTAATTAACACTATTTAAATAGGATTTAAAAGGCTACCGAATATTTTTAGCATAATATTTTTTTATTTTGTCAATAGAATAGATTAATTAGATTTTATATAGAACATTGAGATTTATAAGTAAATATTTGACCCATTTTTGGTAAATATTATATAACATTTTTGACCAAGAATAAATACATATTCTGAACAGCTTTAATTATAATATTACATACTGGAAAAATAGGATATTTTAATCGTATTTTGAGGGTCAAGGAATTTTCAAGGAATTTTTCTAAAGATATCAAGGAATGTAAAGGAAAATTTGTCTTAAAACTCAATTTATCAAGGAAATTGAAAATTGGACCTAGGAACACTACTTATGAGATTCATTAATTTCAACATTATTAATATTGTGGTGTAGAGTACAGAATGTATATAACAGTAGTACAGTAATAAGATATGTATTTCAAGTATTAATGTATAAAAGAGTATATAAGTGTCGGAAATACAGTATTTGTACTCAAAAAACCGCGTTGTGGTCACATTTCTTGCATACAGTATATGGTATTGCATTTCATTAATGGCATTATTCATGTAAGAATGTGTAATCTACCAGAATAGCGACACTAAATTAAATTCCTATACCATGATGAATTTCTGCTTGCTCGTTAAAAAAATATTTAGGACAATATTTAAACTTTATGTGAGACCAGAATTTATAATTAATTAAAGAGAATTCATGCAATTAAGATACACAATGCAATTTATTAACGTATAATCAGTTTGTCGTTTATAACAATATGTGGAAGAGATATGTAATGTCTTGTTTTGGAAGAGAGAGAGAGAGAGAGAGAGAGAGAGAGAGAGAGAGACCTTAATTAATGAATGTTGAGTTAAATTATTTATATTGTTATCCAACAATACTTAACTATATAATCAAGACATTCAGATGTAAAACTAAAACAATGCCTTTCAATAAAATTATTTCCTCGTTTTAAAAATACATATAAATACCACTTAAAGTGATTCTGAAAACAATAAAACGTAATCTCATTAAAATTAACTATATTTATATTAACAAACTGCTACAATTAAATAAGTCTGCTACAACTTAATAACAATTTATTTAAATAGTCAACAAATATTGTTTTAAATTATTATTAAATTTGCAAAAATATAATCTTATATACATTTATGATTGACTTATTCTTTAAACACAAATTATTTCACAATTTATTGAATTTAACATAAGATGAGCGCATTTTTTCTTTAAGAGAAATATTATTTCACTTTTACAACCAATTAATAATAACTAATAATTAAAATTAATATAATTATAATTTATAACCAATACTTTATCGGTAAAACACAAAACTCTTTTAATATATAAATTACAGTATAATATATAACAACTTTGAATTATGGATACTAAATCAGATTAGATCTAAACAGTACTGTAAACCTATGGCTCATCATTTTATAAATTTTTCAAGAGATGTAAATGAAATGTAAATGGCATTTATAAAAAAATAAAGTTCACACGCAATGCTATGCGTTAACCACATTTCGGGAAATGCATCAAGGATTTTAAATGTTTCAATATTAACATTACTCTCATATACTTATTATTATCATTGCCATAGACTTAACATTACTCATAGAGTTAACATTGTCCTTAGAATTAGCATTGCAATGTCAAACCTATGTTATAGACTTAAGCTGCAATCCCATAGAAACCCCTGTATAAGTATTTTCCCATAGAAAAATGTTCCTTATGTTATCCTACGAGAGTCTCTCCATGTTAAAGTATAGCCATAGGATTAACATGTTAAATGTCATAGGGTGGGGAAGGGATAGCATCGATATCCTATAAACCACATTGTTTATAAATGAATTGTGGTTAATAAGCGCCTTTGCCCTTTAGTGCCCTTTTCAAAATAGCCCCAACCTTATAAGAATTGATACTTTTAATTAACAAAGTACAAATATTCCTACCTTCCGATCACTTCGCAAACGTCAAACACTTGATTAAATGACAATTTCTGGCACTTAATCATCATTTAAAACAATTAATAAATAATAATTGAAATATCAATAAATGGCATATATTTTCATCGCATCTGAAATATTGTTTTCAAAAACAATACAAATGTTTGGTATCCAAGGATTGAGTTTGTAAAGTGTTGTCCCAACAACTCTTTATTCCGACAAAACTTTTACATCAATTTACAAAAATTGCATTTTTATTTCACATTACATAATCATGTATTAATATTTTGTAATTGATGTATAGATTTAGAGATGTATTCATACATACAATGTCTTTGAGTGAGACATAATGTCTTATTAACTCAAATGTAAAGCCAAACACCGATTGTTACACAACAACAGTCTTTGACTTTCAGTTCAATAACACATTCATTTCAATTGTGAATATACACTATCATTAGTATGAAGACTATAGTAGACTGTAGTTACTAACACTCATCTCATCATACAATACCTGTTTTACAACTAACCTATACTTTCACAAAGTGATGTAATATTAGATAATATACAGAGCCGTCATTCAATTTGTCCAATTTTGTGTGTATTTTCATTTATTCAAAACAAATAATCTTTCATATTATTGATATACATGTATGGTATATGTTTTTATGTGCTCATATCTATTGTATCCCATTTCATAGAAATAACATTAGTCTCATAAACATAATATTATCCATAGAATTAGCATTGCCATAGACTTAGCATTATCCATGTTAACCCTATGTTATAGACTTTACATTACCTATGTTAAACCTATGAAAAAACCCCATGTTAAAGTATAGCTATAGACTTAAGCTGTAAGGAACTGTAATTATTGATATTTAGAGACATTGCTTATTCAACATGCCTGATCTTTCATGTCTTCCATATTATAGTCTTTATATTAATTTATATTAAATTTCATGTGTCGTCAGACAACTCCGCTGCCCGTCTCAGTGGACGTATTAACTGCGGGCACAGCCGACAGCCGACTACTCTCTCAGCTGTAATTAAGTGGGAAAAACAAATTGCGAACAAATGGTCAAAGGTATCGAACGGCACCTCAGATCACATCGATTTGCCCACAGTTTTTACCTCTAGAGTCTAGACCAACAAAAGCTCACTTAAATCTCATAAAGCGAGCGGGGGAGGGGTGGGGTGGCCGAACTATTCTATAAACTACATTGTTCTTACTAAATTATGGTTAAAAAGTATCTATGAATGAGATTTATTCTATCATAATTCATTTCAATTAGAACTCCATTTGTTGATGTATATAATAATGGATGTCAAACACTGGACTACTTTATTTTGGGACGACTGGCAATAACAAGTCGTTTTTCACTGTCATATTGTGTAACATCGACGGCGAAAAAAGGCTCATATTTATATTTAACAATATTTTTTGTGTCATTAATTTTGTAAACCACATAAAGTTTGTATACATGTGTATAAAGTTTTAACAATCATTTCAATTTTTTCATTAGATAACTCGCGCGTTATCTATTTTATTAATTATTTATAATATAATCTGTTATAAATTAAATGCATAAACTTATTGCTTTTATTAATATTTGTTTTGATTTTTAAACTGACAAACTCAGACTTTCGTGCTTATAATAAAGTACCTCTATTCAGCCATATATGGCTTACATGGATTATAATCT